CTGCTGTTTGAATCTTGCTGCAAGGAGAGAAAAAACAGTGAAGGGTCTTTTATCAGTCCATCAGCAGTTGCATTATCTACTTTCCAGCAACTGCAAGGAGTGACCTGAGGAAACAGTATATTCTCACTCCTGCTACACATCAGGAAGGAGGTTTAAGAGGGGAGTCTATAAAAAAAAAAAAAAAAAAAAAAAAAAATACTGCAAAAGGGCAGTTCCCATCACGCTTCACCAAACAATAAAAAATTTCTTCAGAGGCTCACCACAGAGATGGCTGAATTCCTCCAGTCCTTACTATGGTCAGCACTTTCAGATGGTATAACTGGCTCAGAACTCCCACTATTCTCAGGGCCATGTTTGAGACTTGCTTATTGTTTGGATAACAAGCTTGCAAAGTACATCCAGAACAAACCCTGAAGAGTATGTGTGCTTACTCCACAAATCTTGGGAGGTTAGGATGCCATGAGGTACCTCCAAGGCAAGCTGTCTGAAGGCTCTCTGTAAGATGACTCTACAGAAGACACACAGGAAGGACACAGGCAGGAGGAAGAAATGCTGCATTTATGATCTTCATAAACATCATTCTTTCATGGACGTACTTTCAGTCAAGTATGGCATGGAGAAGCTGCATGGTATCTTCACAGGTAGTAGCGTTAAATAGCATAAAATTACCAATGGATTATAAAACCATGGAAATACTAAATATGGAAAAATAGACCTACATTTTGGAAGCATTTTAGTCAGAATAGCTACATTTAAACCTGGGACTCAGGAACACATCTGAGCTACTGGACCCAGGCAGGAGTCGTGGCTCCCCACCCCAAAATGTTGGTTCCCTCAAACAAGATGTACTGGCTCAACTGAAAAAGAGGCAAAATACGCTCCAAACAATCCAGAAGGTCCAGGGACTCCTTTGATCCAGTAGAACATGCGCTACTGGGTGAATTTCAATGGAGTCATTGAATGTTGGCTTGTGCTTGTAGATTCTAAACTCAAGTTGCTGTTACAAAAAGTTATCAACAGAGGTCACCTAACTTCAACAGTCTTTCCAGAAAAGGACAGCAAAAGACAAAGCTGGGAGACAGCAGCCTTGAATGAGGTATGCCAACTCAAAGTACGTTTTCAGCAGCCACTTCAGGTAGAGTTCTACTCCTCGTTCAGAGAAGGTAGTAACAACCACACTGTCCTCATGTGGGTCAACCTCCTGTTCTGATTTGGTACAAAATGCCTCAGCTATTCAGGCAGCTATAGTTTGCATCTATCTGCAAGTCACTTTTTGGCTTTACAAAATGGTTTGTGCTCCATACATTTTTATTTGTATTACACGCACTCTTTGGCACAGGGAGATGAAAGACATGGTAATTTAAGCCAAGAAAATCATCTGTGCTCTAATAAGGAGAACACACTCTCCTTCAGGGCACAAGTTGACTGTCGCAGTGGAAGACAGGTAGTTCACAACATTTTTATTGAGTACGCAAGGTCAGGTCAGGCCATCTGGGGGTGTCAGTACTGTCACTCTTGTTATACATCCCTGCACTACGTTCTTATAGCACAACATTCACAGCACCACAGACCTTCTTGTTAAAGGCCTCATTTTGCATGGATGAGGTTTTAGATCCTGGTATTACAAAGCTTTTGATTGACAACCTGCCCAAGGAATGCCCTAAGAAAAACTGTTTTGAAGATGAAAATGGCTCTTGACTGAAGCTTCTAACCTCTCTTTATGAGCTGCCTGGCAGCTTTTACGAGTGATTTATTTTTTTCATGTGTTCAAGTGAAATAGAAAATACCAAACTGTAGTGGGCTACTTGTAACTATCATTCCAAAAGAGGTACTATAGTTTATGTCAACTCTCATCCTCCCCATTTATATTTCCATAGCCATGAAAATAGAAAAAAAAAAAAAACAACAAAAAACCCAAACAAACCCACAAACAGTAACAGAAACAAAAAACCTTTTCTTGGTGCTTCTTCACGAATTCCACAACAAACAGAGAAAGGATGACAGTAATCTGAAGAACAGAACTCCTTCATTTTACCTAGTAGCAATCTTATGCTGAAGGAAGGGACAAAGGAGCCAAGAAAAAATTTTGGACTGAGTTTATGGAAGGAAAGGTCACAATTACCTACATGTTAAGAAGGGAGGAAGGGCAGTTTTCTAAAACTGAGATAAGAGAATAATGTTTCACAGGGAGCGGGAGGTAGAGGAGATATAGTTCATACATTACACAAAACAAAATACTGAAAATGTAGAATTATAGCAAAATTTCCAAATTATTATATCCTCAAAATCCTCATTGCTTCATAGGTCCAGGAAGGTAGTATAATGTATTACCCACAATATTTTTTGCTTTTCACTCTTCAGTCTAGTGGAGGATAAAGTAACAGCAAGAAACTAAATTTATTATCACAACTATAAACTAATCTGGATAAAATAATACTGACAATCCTGGTTATCTAAGTAATTTTGCTACACAGAAGGAGCAGAGGTTAGCATTGTAAGATTATCAAATCAAAATGGCTTTCTTCTCCATTATGAGACTAAAACATGTATGGAGTTTAAGGCTTCAAAACACAGTCTTGTCAGAGACTTAGATATTATAACATCAGTCTTCAAATAGCTAAGTACTTCAAGCAGCTGTAGAATTGCCTCACTCTAGCATACACTTACCAACAGATAAAAATTACTGCACATATAATATCTTTTCATTCTTATCACATTGTAATAAAAGGCTTTGTAGTGGGAAATATAGCCAACTCAGCCACATGCTAATATTTTATTAGTCAGTGATGGAGAAAGCTGTTCTCATAATTTTGATCTAAATACACTGGGCCATCATTCTGCTCCAACTGAATTTTGTGTGAGCTGCAGTAACGTAACTCAGTGCTTATAAAACCAATACTGGTTAAAATTAAAACCCTAGTATGCATTCCATGGCTGCCCCACTGGCACAGGAACAAAGCACTTTGCTGTGCGACAAGTAGTCTCGGTGAGAGAACTAGTATGTGTGCCAGAGCTAAGCAGAGCATGCTACACATACAGTGTTTCCAGCCTGTGCAACACCAAAAGCACATGGGTGTCTTCTGCAACTCACACTTTGTAGTCTCTGAGTAAACTGTTGCATTTTAGTAAAGGAAAGCGACCAACTATAACACTTGCTGTGGGCTACTCTGTAAATTCTAGTACATCAGTGTATGCATGCACTTATTTTAAGCCTTTGTTGTTATACATTGACAAAATACTTAACCTAGAGGACTGCAATTAAGTGTGACAGCTAGATCTGAAGACAGACTACAAATAGCAATAAATACCATTTGTACTAAACTGCATATGATATATTCTGCTATTGCCTCTTTAATGTAATTGAGGCTTATAAACAAAATTTGAGACAGCTAAGTTAGTTTATTATTTAGGACTATAAAGCTTGTAACATATCCACAAACATCTACTACTCCCTTATCTGTTTCTGGGACTCAAACAAAAAAAAAGGGAGCAAGATAGCTCAGAATTTCATTCATTTCATTACCCAACTTGTTTGCAATATATAATTCTGCACAATTAGACAATCTTTTTTAAAGTTATTACTTTAAAAAAAGAGCAGAAGAACAAATTCCAGAGATATGACTTACTGGTACTCAACTGGCAGTTCTCAGAAACAGAACAGCACAAGGCAACAAATAATACGGGAGAAAAAAAAACACAAAAAGCTCACAGTAATCAAGTTATTTTACAGATGAAAAGAAGTTTTATTAGACACTTGACATAAAACACTCTAGAAGTCAGCTCCTCAAGACAGAGAAAGGAATCTTTGTAAACATCTGAGTTAGTACAACTAATTAAATCAGACATACAAGTTTTCATAAAGCCACCTAAACGTCTGTCAGGGTACAGCATAAGCTAGCAGTAACTGATTGAACCATCAGACCTAGACTGAGGACCACCTCAAAGCCAAATGGAGTCACAAGTGACTGTGCTGTCCTAGGAGCAGACAAGAAACCACAGAAACCCCAAACTGTGCCAAATTTACCTCTGTTTCCTGCCACCTCTTCCTCTAAATAAGATACTATTGATACACCCATTCCCCCATTAGATGCTACCTCTGTGCTGTCCTGCTGACAGAAAAGTAAGGACATTCTATCTATTCTCCTCTGCTTGCTTGAGGTGGGAATAGAGCTACTATTTACTCCTGCCTGTGCCCCAAGCAAAGCAGTCTAGTGGCAGTAGATATCTGAACATGGAAGTATAAGAACCCCTCAGAATTAAGGCCCACACAGACAAGGATTCCTTCTTTAGCCACAGCCAGCAGTGGATACTGTCAAAAGAGTAAGAAAACAGGGAATGAAAGAATCATCCTTCTACGGGCATATTACAATAGCTTCTAGTGCTATAAGGACTTCTTGAACCTCACTTTGTACCCAGCTCATTAGGATGAACAGCATCAAATTATGCAACCTGATCTCTCTGTATTCCTTTCTACCCCTTCTACCTTCAACCATACAGCCTCCCACGAAGAAACCTTAATGATAAAAGCAGTTGAACTGTCTTTGTGACTTGAACTTTGGTTTAATAGATCTAGTACTTGAAAGATACTAACTAGATCTTCTCAAAACTATGCAGGTCAAACATGCCTTGTCACATTTAATACTTCAATGGAATGTAACAAAATAAATATTTACTATATAGACAAAGGTTGCATACAGAGGTCTGCATTAGGGAACAGATACCCCCTCAGAACCACAGTTTTCTTTAACCTTGAATACTGCTTCACTCTACTGAAAGTCCTGCTATGGCTCTCAGTGAAGTCAGGTGATTCTCAAGATAAGAAAGGGTCACAGGCTCACAATTTTATTTCCAGAAGGAAATTTCTGGGGGTGGTGACCTAACACAGAAGACCGGGCCCCTCCCGCAAAAATCAGGTTCATGATCTAACAAAAAAAGAGCAATTCGAAAACACAGGGAGGACAGCATTTTACAAAAGATGCGCTGCATTTAAATGAACTTACAGGAAGAGTGGATACTCGGAAAGCTTTTTCTGCCTTCAGACACCAGATCTGGATCACCTGTGCAGTGCATTTCAGAGTTCATTACTCCATCTGGAAAGCAGCGGTAAAAGAAATCGGGACGCGGTCTACAAAAAACACCATGGATATTAAAAATATAAAAGCTGTAGTAACAAATAAACCTCAAAGTGATTATTACATTTACTGCTTATTACATACAGAGTTCATTCCCTCCTGCCTTAACACAGCAACAGAAATCATAGAATCATTTAGGTTGGAAAAGACCCTTAAGATCAAAGAGTCTAACAGTAAGCCTAACGCTGCCAAGTCCACCACTAAAGCATGTGTCTCAGTTTAAGGTCACTTTTTTGGCAGGCGGGCTTTCTCAGGGAAGCTTCCAGTGCAGCATGCAAGTGGGAGTTGTCTCTGAAAGCAAACACGCAGGGTTACTCTTGCCTAAAGCAATCAATCTTGCACAGCACTTCCAGTGCCAGAGGAAAGCAGCGTAGCAACCCCACAAAGTTGCACAAGTCTTACCGACACACCTAGCTGAGAACAGGACTACAACTTATGCTACAAGATTGGCACCAAAACAACCACCAAATTCTAATGCCAGCCTTGACGCTGACTCTCTAAGTGCGTTGAATAAACCTCTGAGTTTCCTTCTGACCCTGCTCTGAGCTGAATGACAGCATGTAGGTTTGACTGGTGTCGTACTGATCCTGAGCTAATAAACCATGTAGAGAAGCAAGGCAAATGACCACAGATTCAGAGGCAAGCTGACAGAGCAACTAGTTGGCTTGGAACGCAGGCAAAATGAGCTCATGTCTGCCTGAAGAAGATGGTGCAGACATTCTTAATTATATTTCAAAAGCACTCTTAAAATAAAAGTGCCAAGTGCCATTATTGTCAGGGGATCGGTACTGTAGCAGAGAGGGTTCGTCAGAAACCAAGCACAAATACTGCTTCCTCAAAGCTGCAAAACAGGTGAACAACAAATGCAGCATTGGACTCTATTAAATAGTGTTATGAATTCAAGTTAAATATATATTTTTCAGCTGAAATTATTCAAACTTTTGATAATGATCCAAAAAAAACCTAAAAAAAAAAAAAAAAAAAAAAAATCATTTTCCAGAGAGGTTTGTTTGCTAGTATTTTTCTGAACCCTTCATTCAAATTTATGCTTCCCTAAAAAAATGGCCTACCTAGGACTCCACTTATTGCTTAGCTCTTGTTCTGCCATGGACCTTGATATTACCTGGAAATACCACATTCAGTAATATACTTCACACAAAATGCATGCACTGCGTTATATAGAGACTCAATTGATTTCTATTTGCAGACCAGGGGCATTGGCATCTGAACTGCCCCATGCTGTGACTCTTCCTTCTGTATTGCCAACTTAATGAACTGATTTCAGCTCACACCTTTCCTTTCAAACCCCTCGTTTGTCTGGATCCGCCAACTGGTCAAACAAGTAACAAAACACAAGGGCATAGATTCCTACCACAGCTGGATGTCACATAATGAAGTTGTGCAACACCTGCACCAGGGAAAGGACAGCTTCACAGGGGGCTGTTCTAATTCAATGTGCTTTGGAGCAGCAGCTATCTTTTTATTAAGGTGTATTGTATTTGTCAATCTGTCTTCATTTCTCTTAACAGTTAAAGCTATCATTTATAACATGACAAGACTTACCTTCCCACTATTAATTTAATAGTATTTGTGCAGACGCCATTCAGAGCTAGAGCCAAGGAAACAGCTACAAAACAGAATGAAAAAAAACAGAACAATAACAACTTAAATACCAAGCTATAAATTGCAGCATTACAGCATTTGATTTACAGACTGAAACCTTTACTGGAGTGGAAACTGAATGATCTTTGCAGCCTACTGTTTTTGTTATTACCCAGACTAAGGACAGACCCCAGAGCATCATAATAATCCCATGACTTTGTTCTGCTTTTACTCTTGAGAAATCTTATTTCCTTACACAAAGCAAGTTTTCCTATCATGCCATTTGCACAGGCATAAATCATCAGATGAAAACAATAATTAGAGAATCAAGTACTGTGTTTATCAGTTTTACAGTTTACTAGATGAAAATCTTATGCTGTTTGGGTCAAGGAAAATTCCTGTATAGACCTATACGTAATATATATACACACATATGAGTGTATGTGTGTGTTTATGTATATATATAAATATGTATATGTATGACACAATTAAACAGTCCATTTTCATGCTAAAGAGTTGCCTTTTGGCTAAAACTAGAATTGGATGATTTTTTTTTATTATTTATTTTTATTTCAAAAGGATGTAGGTGTTTTGACTAACAATCTTGAAATCTTCCCCTTACGTCTGCTCCCAGGATTAACCAATTTTCTTAATAAAATTGGAGTAATAAACAGGAACTGTCATACGAGGTATGACTGAATCATTTTTTTTATTTGTACTTGCATGCCGAGTCCCTAGACTTTCCAAAGAACCTCATCTACAGATGAACCTCCTCATCTACATGTGCAGATCTGTGCATTTACTTCAGTGGCACTTGGACCCAGTGCATACACTCCTTTTAGATTAAAACTGATTTAATGTTGCAGTTCACACTGTAGCTCCCTGTAACAACACAAGAGCCACTGAATTTTAACTCCCTTAAGAAGAAAAACTATCAGGCAAATGTCTGATTTCCAGCAGAACAGTCACAGTAATATAACTTTTGATTATGACAGCTACACAAGTTCTTTTCTCATTGGACTGCTGCCCCAGATGCTGCACTTCAGCAGCACACATCCTGTCTCCATAAAACCATTGCCTAAGGATATTATAGATCATAAAAATGTGTGTGCTATAGGATCTATTTTTCTTTAAGTTAAAAAAAAAACAACAGGTCCTCCATCAAAGCAAAACCAAAGGTTTTCTCAGACTATACCAATAGCTGCCAGCAAAAATAAAAGAACAAGTCAATCCTAGACACACTGTTCAAAAGTTCTTCCACTTTCAACACCTATGTTCACAGTGACCATTCAATCCCATGCTCTCTTTTTCCTCTCAATCTTTCTCTCAGTTATTTATGGTAATTCCACAGTGAACTGAATTTTCCACAAAGTCAAATGCACATGACCTGCAATGTCACAGCAGTACATTTCCTTTTGAAAGAATGGGAGGTGTAGAGATACCTGCTTTCTGACACACATGGTAAAGTTTACTCTTTTCACTGAGCTTTGTGTCTTGATTGTTGATTGCATGTCTGACTGAACCATGCTTTCACTGTTGCATATTCCTTACAATGGCAATCCAAGTATCAAATGACTGTGAATGTAAGCTGGTGAACAAAATGAGAGCAAATGCAATTTGTTTCCTTTAGGCAAGATTCATACTGCCTGCCAAAAGTCATATAATCTAGTCATTAGAGAGATGTAGGCACTTCCAGGGGAAGGAATAAGGGCACCTACATTTGGAAGCTAACTACTCCTTACCCTACATGCACTGAATCGCCTTCTTTATATTAATGGCTATATGAGGGGCAAAGTATTTTTACATCCTTTTAACCTTTGAACTCTTCTATGCATGATGCCTAAGGAAATTCACCTTTTGAGGCACTTCCTAATCATTCATTATGAACATTATGTGCCAGATCTCAGCAAATCAGCAAAGCTCCACCAGTTAATAAATCCTCACATCCGCTTCACATCACCAGACACATTAACATACTGAATCATATTAATATATAGTACACTTGAACACAAATAAGCCACAAGAAGTTCAACACTTATGGCACATACTAAACAGGGATACCCTGTAGAACAGAACATCAGGCTTGGGTTTCCTTAAAGTCTGGGTAGCAAGGACAATACTGGGGAAGCTGGCAAGCTTTCTCCTGGACATTATAGAGGGAATCATAACAGAAGCCAAGAACAGCAGAAAAAATGAACATCTCCTTAGAACAAAAAGGTAAGAATAAGTGATGGAGAAACTAATCCAAAGGTCCTTTCCTTCTTAAACAACAGAAAGTGAAACTCAGAACTCTGATTGTATGCATTTTGTGAATCAGAGTTATTTCTACGGAATGGAGTTGTCAGTAAAATATCACTATAGGACATTTCAGAACTTAATACAAATGACTGGGAGCAGCCAAAACAAAACCAGGATCTTTTCACACTTGCGCTAGAGAAACTGAAGAAAGAACAAGCTATGGGAACCCAGCCTTATCCAAAAGAAATTTTCAAAGGCAGATACATAGTGCCATTTACATCCTATCTAGCTAAGGCAAGGCTGAGTATCACTTTGACCTTACAATCTAAGAGCCAATAAATTAAAGTGTAAATTAGCCAGTAAAACAGAATTTCAGAATCAGGCATGTTTCAAACATACTGCCAACAAAAACATTTGCACTTCTTAGCTTCACAGTATCCTCTGCCAATGAAAGTGCTTTAGTCAATTTTGGTCCCTGGCAATATCCATATAAAAAGGATCTGGGGATATATCAGTAAAAGATTTCAAAAGATAAGCGCAGGCAGAATTAGCTGGAACAGTTTAAGACTTACCATCCCCATTGTTTGCCTGCTCCTCTGCTTGAAGTTGCTGCCTACAACTGTAATTAGACTTCAGCCATAACACAGCCATAGCAGTTCACAGTCCAGGATTAAGTGCACATCTAATTCCGCTGGCAGTTTAAGATGAAACACCAGCTTGTGATTAGAAAAGCTGAGCCATGAGCACGGATTTTGCAATGGGGAACAGTAAACTCCAGGAGAAGGTCAGAGAAAACAATAAGACGAGTAATTTCCTACACTAAGCAGCCGAGTCTCGCAGGACTTTCCAGTCAAACCCTTAATTTAGAATAGCTGCAAGTATAAATAAGAGGTAAGTAATAGATTGGCTTTGACAGAAAAATCTACATCTGAACAGTCTCTCAGATGGTCTTGTCTTTGCTGATCGAATTCTGGCCCGTGCTAGCTAGATTGTGGAATTAAGGCATAGAATTTGTACATTTAGAAACATACATAAAAACAATGACTTTTGTGAGATGGCTTGCAACTATAACTGCACTGAAAACTACTGTAATGGACTGTAACAGAGACGGGTTTTCTTCAAGGCTTAGACTACAATTGGAATCAATCTCCGAGAGCTACCACACATTTTCCGTCTTGAAGTATGGCATATATTACCTAAGAAAGCCTCTTTAATTTCAGTCTTGTCTGTTCGCCGGATTATTTTCACCACAAAAATGACTGCTAGTGGCGTAAGGAACGAAATTGCCTGTAAGAGATAAAAAATATCATGTGTGAGAGCATCCATTCTTTTTCAGTCCAACTGATTAATAATTAGTTCCAGTTAGCTCCATTTAAACTGGAAGGCTGAATGATCTTTGTCAAACTCCTGACCTTAAGCAAAGTGGGATGATTTGTCTTTGCAACTACAGGGCAATGAATACATTAAAATTGCAATATAACTGTGGGTTATAATTGATTTGTTATTGCCTGGAGTTGCATTTAAAATGTCAGCTTCATAAATGAAAAAGCAACAGTCTATAAGGTCCACAAAATTCATACACTGATCCATCCAGATCTTGTACATTTTTTCCACACTAAGCATTGCTCCAGAAGGCAGCCCAATCCAGGCTGTGCTCTCAGTGAGACCCTATTCAACATAACAGACTCCAACACCAACTTCCTGACATTAAAAAATGCTTTTTATTTTACTTTTTGTTTTCTTTTTAACTCTCATTCTTGAAAGCATTGAGAAGATCATGTTTTTATGATTCTTTCATTTACAAGTGTTTGGATGTGGACCAAACTGCTTGATTTTATTTAAGACCAGAAAAACAACACCTGAACATCTACAAGTATACTCATTGGTTAAGCAGAACATATTCTTTTATTGTCAGTGCTGTAGGACAGGATTCCTCCTACAAGGAACCTGAAATGGCATCTGCACATCAATGCACACACTTGATTTCCACAAACAGCATCTCCATTGTCACAGAGTAATTTGGACTATGGTTGATGATGCACTGTAAATGTGCCAGTTATCCAAAAAGCATCCTACTTTGTGCAGTCTGTCATCCCAGAGCAAGTATTTATTGTCTTTCTCCAGAGAGACACATCGGTTTCTCCCAAGCACAATGCCAGGGAGTTTTTCATTAGTGGCTTGCCATAGAAACTATGATTTGGTTCCCACCTGGTCCTTCCATCATCCCTTCTGTCTCAGACCTCCAATTGCAGAGGTAAAAGGCAACTCGTAGGTAAGGATGTCCACTTATGCTTCTTGCTGGTTCCAGTCTAAGTTAACCAACTCTTTTCTGGAATCTACAAACCTGCTCACCATCACATTTGTTCAAAAACAAATCAAGGTCTTTCAAAAGCATTTATTCTCTTGAAGTGAAAATTACTGTTTTTTTTTTTAAACAAGGCAAAAATTAAGCTGTATGTGGCACAAGGGGTGCCATGGCTTAAGTAAGACTATACTATCTTTACTGAGGCTGAACAGTGCCTTACTTCTTAAACAGCCCCACTGAAATAAAAAACAGGCAGGACAGACATGTTATGACAAAAGACATGTGACTCTCTTCTTTTTATAATACAGATTAATCCCAGTCCTCATTTTATGCTTTTAGAACATCTGAGTATGGAACAACAAGAAAATGTACTATACTTGTTATTTTGGTAGTACATCTTGGTCCACATTCCCCTCACCTGCATCTGCAAAATATTATCTAACTCAGTGAGCCATGCAGATTAAAACACAGTCTGGAGTCTGATCCCCTTTTTTACATTTAGAAAGGCAGGCACCAGGTTTGGTGCAAAAAGATGCACCATTTCCACTTAAAACTCCCTTCTGTCTACAGTGTGTGTGAGATTCAAGTCAGGGTGGCAGTGTCACGTTACTGCTCCACAAATGTTCACTTCTCTGTATCCTCAGCAATAGTTTAATTTCTGCTTTCAGAAACAAAAAGTGAAATTAAAAAAAAAGGTTAAAGCAAAACCTAGAATTATTAGTTTCATTCTAAAAAGTAAGGATTGCCACCAGGAAAGAAAAGAAGAAAGATATCTGCATTCCATTGTTGAAGAACATGTAGAAATATAGCCAGGCTGACAGGCTTATAGTGGTGGTTTAATAGAGTTAGAAATCTTTTGAACAAACAGGAGCAGAAGAAAATATCAACAAAGAATAGAATTCAAGTGGCAGCTTGTTCCAAACTACTTCACAATCAATCTTCAGAAATCTGGTAAAACTGCAGATTTCCTCATATTTCACAAGCATATGGATTTTTGAGAGAGATGAACAACTATTCCTGTGTGCAGTACATTGCTGTTCCTTACACAAAAGCATCAGCTGGAAGGTGTTTTTTATTCTGCAGCAAAATGTACATATAAAGAAAGTTTGGCTTGCTAAAGACTCCTTTTTCTTTATTTTGCAAAAAGATTCTGTATGGCTCATATCCATAACAGATTTGGCAACAGTCCAATGAGCAATACTCTCCTCAGATACATCTCAGTAATGTTTTCTTTTCCAGCAGTGAAACATTCCAACATTGCCTTGCTTTTGTGAAACATGGACAAAATCCCTCTTGTTCATTATTCATCCTGGCGAGCCAGAGATATGCTAAAGTTATAGGGACTCCCACATACTTCCATGCATTCAAGAGAAGCTGACAGTACCTTATGCTTTCCAAGACAAGGAATATCCACTGATAGAGACAGAACAAGGCTCATGTCTTTCCAGTCCTTGTGGCTTACTTGCTACCCATGCAGAAGTCAGCTTTGTCTAATTTGAACCTGGGTTTGGAGTATTCACAACATTTCTCTTGAATTCAAATCTCTCAGCGTATAAAATAATCCAGCAGTTCATAAATTCCTAGAGATTGCTTTCTAGTAAGCCACAGCCGTATGTTTCAGATCAGAGTACAACACTAGTGGCAAGAAATTCTTTACATAATGAAAGCTTGTGATCAATGCTAGAGTTGGATTTTTCTTCTTTTTAATTAGAGAAATAAGAAAAAACATTTAGAAATTCTGTACGTTTCTTAATTTAAGAAGCTGTTCACTGAGTTACTGACATGTTAATGGTCTGAGCCAGAATGAGAACACAGAATATACAAATGTTACTAACTCAGAGCTGCCTGGAAGTTCCACCTGCCATGAAGTATACCAAAAGCTGGCTCTAGGGGAAGTGGTTAACAGGGAAATGTACTACACATATCCCAGAATTGTGCTTCCCCGTGGCTACTGCCTAGAGAACAGAGGATGGACCAATGATTATCCCAACTGGTTTCAAAAATAGTTTCACCACTGCAGCAAACCCCTGTACGATGATTCACTATTAGTTCTTGAACTCTTCAGTTATAAACATGGTTCAGAGAAACCATGTAGCAAGGTAATGCTCAGCATAAGGAAAAATGGCAGAATTAAACTCAGTCTTTCCTAGCACAACAATTTAACTTTCGGGTTTGGGGGTTTTTTTGTTTTACACAGCTGTCTTGCATTTCAGGAAAAACATATATTTTCACCCATCCGGGCTGAAAAAGTCCTTAACAGAGTTTCTTCTTAATGCAATGTAAACAATATGTTGGTGAATTTAAAACCAGGCCTTCAGCCTCTGTCATAGAAGGCTGGGATATATTGTTGCCTCATAAATAGGAAGCGCCGTCAAGTGCTCCTTACTTAATTAAAAAGTTTCTGTAACTGAAGGCCTGAACCTTTAAAAAAAACCCCAAACATTGAAAATAAATTACATAGCTGATTTGCATTTATCCTGAATTCAAGCCTTAATCTGAAAAGTAAAATCCTGGCTTCACTGAAGACACAGGAAAAGATGCTTTGATGTAAGGGTACTAGGATCTGACCTCATCTGCCATGCCCATTCCTGCAAAATCTACACTTTGACTGATGCAACTTTGCAAAGATTGACCTACTTGTTTTAATAGCCTTAACTACACCTGTAATTTCTTAGCATTTCTGTAGTGGTCTATACTGCACTCTTATAGTTATATATGCAGCTTATTATGATAATTTGATAACCTAGTGAAGGTTATCAAAACCATTAATTTTGATAACCAGACAAACCATCAAAGTCAGACAGCCAGTCTGCAGGTCAACATGAGCTGTGCTGGGGAGAGCCAGAAGAACAGTGACAGCAGGGCAGCTCTATGATATATTTTGTATGCTTGTTGGCAGAAGCTAAAACAAAGGTTTTGTCTACATGGGGGAAAAAAAAGAAGGATTTGGAGGCAAATATCTTAGTGTCTAACACATCTAAAACAAATTGGATTTCAAAATTTAAGCACTTAACCTAATAAGAGCATGGCAAGGTTTTGCCAGGTCACCCAACCAGCTAATTCAAAAAGCTTCTCTAATCACTACTCTGGCATCCCTTTAAGTTAACACTAGCTTAAATCTTAAACTGTAAAAATCAACATTCATAAATTCAGTCACCTGGTAATGCTGCTTTTTACAAACTCCCCATGATTTCCTACATTTTGCCATTTTGGACATCCCCAGTTTGGAAAAAAATTGTCATTAGAATTAAAGGAACATCCTATACTTCTGAAACATTTCCTACTGCTAATCAAATGAAAGTGTACTTAGTTTACAGCCATCAAATGACCAATAAAAATTTAGTACTTACAAACATAAGACGCGTAGGTATGTTGTCTGATTGCACCAAAGGATTTTTATACAGCCAGATCTCTTCTGGCTGGATAACCCGCTGGAATGGATCCAAAAATTCTGTAAAACTGAAAATAACAATTTAAGATGCAATTTTTTCACAATTTGAAAGGATGACCAAAAAACCCAGAACAGTCTTGCTGATTTAAAACTTCCCCCAAAGTTAATTATGGTATAGCATGCATGAATTATCCTTATAAAACATTACTATCCTACCTCACTGCTTTCTAGCAATACAACCTTCATAAATATACCCTTAGGAAAACGATTGTTAAAAGTCTATATTCTACAACTTTATAAAAGTTCCACGAAGTTACTGTGGAGATTTCATAGTTTAAGCCCAGCCAGCAATTAGGCACCACACAGCTGCTCACTCACGCCCACCTCCCAGTGGGATGGGGAGGAGAATCAGAAAAAAAGTAAAACTCGTGGCTTGAGATAAGAACGATTTAATAACTAAAGTAAAATAAAATGTAATACTAACAACAATAATCATAAAATATAATAACTGTAATGAAAAGGAATATAATAAAAAAATAAAACCCAAGAAAAACCAAGTGATGCCTAATGCAATCACTCACCACCTGCTGACTGATGTCCGAGCAGTGATCCACCCCTCCAAGCCAACTCCCCCCAGTTTATATACTGAGCATCACGTATGGAATATCCCTTTGCCTAGTTCGCATCACCTGTCCTGTCTATGCTCCCTCCCAGCTTCTTGCACACCTACTCGTTGGCAGAGCATGGGAAACTGAAAAATCCTTAAATTAGGATAAGCGCTACTTAGCAACAACTAAAACATCAGTGTGTTATCAACTTTATTCTCACACTAAATCCAAAACACACTGTACCAACTACTAAGAAGAAAATTAACTCTATCCTGGCTGCAGCCAGGACAGGAGAATAAATTGTCATTTTATTTTTTGCGGGAAAAGCGTGCAAAGAATATTGTGGGATTAGAAAAATCACGTAGCAGGTATTTTACACTGAAGAAATTATATACCAGATATCGAATACAAAATGTCAAGATCCAAACTTTGAAGTATGACAGTTGTATTTGCAGGATCACAAAGCAGGGAGAAAGAAGCAGCCCAGACTGATAGAAAGAACAGATAACTTTAGAGAATATTTCAAAAAGACACTTACTCCTAAAGCAGGATGGGCTTGTAGAAACACATTTTTTACTTTTTCAGATTGCCAGTATTTTGATTTGGCTGTCAAGCTTAAGAAGAATCCAGCTCTACCAGAAATGTCTCATTCTACCAAAACTGACTGTTTTAATTTCATTCTTAAGTCATTTAGCTCTCTTAAAAAACAAACAAACCAACCAACCAACCAAAAAAACCCCACAGTTTTGTAATTATGTTATTTTGAAATGAAAAGCATCAAAATAAAATGTTAAGGTTACATTGTTATATAGAAATTAAATTATTTGTGTGGGTACCTTCTGTCCAGCAACAAAGAGGAAGCAGGAACTGTGATGTTTGTAGTAAGTTTCAAAAGCTTTTTAGGACTACATAAATTGTCTCTCTTCAGTTAAATCATACTCCTTTTTCCACAGAGTCCTTTAACTCTTCCTAGCTTTTAAGTCATATCAGACTTCCTGGGAAATTTGCCTTCACTTTACTCATTTCAGGGCTAGTTTACTAGGACTGAAAGAATAGCTGCTGAGAGAAGACACAGGGATCAGTTTTCTGCAGATTGGCCTTACTAGGTAAGCCCATGGAGCCAGAATACAGATGTGTAGTGACCCAAAGCTTTTTTTACTGCAAATTTCCCAAAGCCAAGGGCTTTAACCTCCTCCAAAACCCAGGTTTATACAAGTAACAGCTATAACAATTTACTTTGCAATAGAAAAAGCTCAAAGCAATTTGTAAAGCAGAATAAAATTAAACCATATATATGCAACTCCCCCCTGTGAAGACGAGTCCTCAAATCTAGCCAGGTCAGCAGTTTCCTAAACAGCAGCAAGCCTTATCCGGTCTTCTGGGTCTTAGAAAATCCTTCTTTTTACCCCTTCTGAGGACTGATCAGCTGTTCTTTGTTTTCTCACTGTAGTCTATGATCTCTGCATTAGCTACAGTTTCCCACGCCCCCAGCACACACTACTACTGAACCCCTTTACCTGACTCCCACTAGAGAGAAGGTACAAACACTCTGTCTACTCCAAAGAGCCCAATCAACCTCCTCTTCCTAAAGAAAAACAACAAAATCTGAGGACCCAACATGTCAAACACTCTTGTCACTTGAACCGGTAGTTATGTTTCCCTTACTGACCTACGTGGACAACCAGATTCTTCTGGAAACAAGGAGTCTGGTATTGCAAGGATGTTTACTATCATACTCAGCTTCCTCAAACCCAGAGTCTGACCCTGCTCTCCAAAGAAGGTGCAAGGTGAATTTCAGAAGTGTCAAAACACTTTGTTTTAAATTTTCATTTTGAAAACACTGAATCTTTTTTAAACAATTTTAAAAAAACAATGGCTTGTGCAAAACATGAAAGAGGGAAACATTTCTAAAGATGACCATTTCCAGGAAATAAAACACCTCAAAAATTCATTTTACAGTTTTTCTCTTCAACTAGAAAAATAAAGGTTGATTTCTAGACAATGCAAGCAACTTTGTTTCCAAATTTCAACTGAGAGTCCTAAAGTATATTATTTTTATCTTCAGTCTTCAAAGACATTGACAGCAGCTAGAAGCAGTTAACTGCTCATTAAAAGAGTTCAGTTGCCAAGTCACAGGGCTGGGTATGACATCCAACATGTGTCACCTGGGAGAGTTGAACAGCAAAGTTCACAGCTATACTGTCCAGGACTTAACATTTGTTATGAAGATATATACCGGATCCATGGCCAGGAGGTACTTCACTGCTGTCAATAAATAGAGAAGCACGTGCATGTCTGGGCATACAAGAAGTTAAAGAAGCCAGCTGAGTTTCAATGACTACATCTTTCAGGCAGTCACGTCTTTTCTGACATAATCCCTCAGGTATCTGCTGGTCTGACTGTTTTGAGGCAGTTCTCAAAGCAGAGACACATTCTTTGTCATATCTAGGCCTTGAAGCATTTCTACTAAGTGCAAAAAGCAAACAATAAACAAACATTTATGCTTCAAGGTGATCAGAGTATATCTGTGCACCAGCGCACTTTTGGAAAACATGTCATATTAGACCAGAGATTTGATTAATTTGACATTAAGACATTTGACATTATAAGCAAATGCCAACAGACTTAAAGGTTTGGGGCTCTTGGTCTTTTGTTTCCTGCCTCCTTGTGATGTAATAAAGCTACGATTAAAGTATAGTTGTTTAAATCTGAGAAATTAAACAAAAATCAAATTCATAGTTCTCACATGAATCATACTATGACACTGCAAATGTGTGCTAAGTCATAAGATTTAATTCCTTTAAGGACAAAATAACACGTGCTAAAGAGATGAAACTAAAACAACATAAATAGTATCTGATTCCAACTGAGGACCGATTTTCTGATTAGTATATACTCACTATCTTTGTACTCTTCTAAAGAAAGATTCATTTCAACAAATCTATCAATGACAGTAATAATTATTATAAGTATTATTTTATTTAACAGCAGTTTTGTATCCACCACATATTAAATCTGATTATGTAACCACTTCTTCCTCTGACTTGCATTCTGAATGTCTTCCAAGAACAGTGTTCAAATATGCTGAAACATAATGAAAAAAAAAGGAGTAAAAAAGATAGATGTAGAAGGCAGATCTTGTCTGTGTGAACAATCCAGAAATACTAAGTAAACCGTTAAAGGAAAGTGACTATATAAAAAAGAAATCACTTTTTTTTCCATCTTCAGAAAGAGCTCAGCTGCTAATTAAATTTTTATGCCAAGACTCATAAGAGAACAATTCTCTTCTTTTTTTGAAGCATCACCGATGGGTGACTGGATACGAGATTTCACTAGGTTGAAGGCAATTCCCTATTAAACAGTCATGAGGACATACTGGTTTCTAAGCTGCCTGACACTTACTGATTTATGTTCCTTCACCCTAACCAAAAGTACAGTCTATTACTATTCATAAGCTAGCACAAGCTTGTTTAAATGACTAGATGTTATTAGAAATGAATGTAGTCCTTGGATAAAGAAAACTAGTTCCTAGACATTTTCTATTATGGCTGAAAATACAAGCTCAATCATATAACGTCCCATGGTAGCAGGTGGGCAACTTAAGAAGCTTACTTTGTATTAGTACATGAAATTTTAGTATTAGCTTTTTGGCCTTACATTTTCTGCATGTTTACATATTCATCCAACATTTTTAACAGTTTAACAAGCAAGATTTTGAATACTTCAGCCTGATAACATATATTTAAGACATAAAAGGACTTCCATTAACTTCAAGAGCCTTTAACTGTGACTTTCAAAGCAACCAAAGGGAAACAGGAACCCTAATTCCATTAAAAACATCAGTGAGGAACAGGTGCCCAAGTGCCTGAGGTTGCTTTGGACATGCCAACATTACTGCCTACAACACTACACTAAATAAAAATGTTGTTCTTTTCTGAGGACACAAGCACTTTCTGGTCACATTAACTTCATTTCCATTTAACAGCATGTATCCCTTTAAGATAATTTTTATGCAAGCACCACATCACAGACTGATCCAGGTAAAAGTACACAGGAGTTCTGTGATAATACGGACTAATAATTTTTTTTTATGAAGCCATTCAATGGTAGTGAATGAATCAAACATTGCATAAATATCCTCACAGAGTCTTTGACCCGTGCTTCCACCATGGTTTCCATCTCCCATAAGTAACAGCAGGGTATTGTTTAGCACCTCACCTTACTGTTTTAAAAACTGCTTACAGTAGCTACCGTTCCCTGGCATTCAGCAGCATGAAATCAAGCAGCAATGACATTTGGAAGTTGCTAAGATCAGAGAAAGAGCAATAAGCAGTACTTCACTGGCAAAGCTGGTAAGGTAGAAACCTTTAAATATTAAGAGTAGAAAAGTATGTTCCCAAACTAGCAACAAGAACAGGACGGGAATAGGACAGATGCGCCCAGCATTAGGATTGTATCGT